ACATACATACATACATACATACATACATACATACATACATACATAATATTTTAATACAAACAATACAAACAATTGTTTAAATTTGATGAGCAACGTGGGCAAACCTTTCCTCATATTACACATGTCTACAAGCTATAATAAGATCTGACATACTTTCTATCATACTCAGCCTAGTATTAGCTGTACTGACTGAGAATTACAGAAATTGTTGGGAAATGCATTTAGGGTGAACCACACTGAAAAAGGCTAGTGTAGGATATAACATTGTCATTTGGTAGTAAAACCATGGAAATTTGAACTCCATAAAACGAGTGGTACCTCATCTTCATCTTACTCCAACGGTTGGGGAACATATTTCAACATTCCAGTCTGAGAAAGATCTTGAAGAAGGTGAAACTAAGGTCCTGCCATCTGGAATTCCTCACATTTTCCTGTTTTTCAATTTATTGCCAGCAGCATCATATCTGGAAGATGCTAATTGGAAAACAGTAACTGCCAATAAAGCTGTAGGAAATCTAATTATCTCCAATTTCATATCAAGGCAACAGCTATGAAAAAGTGTAAAATATTTGGTCCCAAGACAGAAGCTAAAATTTAAACTCTTGGTTCGAATATTGTATTCTGTTTTCTCTATTGAGGTTATCATCATTATACAGTGAGTAACTCCTCAGAACTACAAGATGTTGTACAATATATAATTATGTACTGTATAAAATGCAATCTAAATCTTACTGATGGGTTCTTGGAAAAGAACAGAATAACGAGTCTTCTTGAACCACAAACACTGTTGAGATGGGGAGACGGATAGCATACAATTTTTTTGCTTACATTTCTAAAAGTTGTTTGTATTGTATTGTATTGCATTTGCTTTTTAAAAAAATCTTAAGTTATTTGCTTCGTGTAAAGCGTTACCCTGAAAAATAATTATAATAATGATTAAAGTCCAATAATATGTAACATTTATGTATTGCTAAGGTTAAAACATTTCCAGTTCCTCATACCTTTTACACATACTCCTACTCTTCCCATAAGCAGTCTTGAGTGCTTACTTTTATAGTTATTCACTTTATCTTATATGAGATTTTTTTTGATTCATGTTTATTCTGAAGAAAACCCTACTTTATGCTATCATTGAAGCTTTCTTCCTAATAAAAAAGTTTAGAATTGCAGCCTTAAATTTAATGAGTTATAAAGATTGTTTTAGTTAGATATATAATTAACCTCATTAGTGTTATTATAATGTAACCTCTGCTATTTTTTTT